AATCGCTGTTTTACTCTCTTTTTTATTATTTTTTGCTGAATATTTGTGTTTATTTATTGATTTTTGAGGTGTGGGGTTCATTGTTTTTGTTTGGAACTTTGTTTAAAATCCTCTTCATTCTCTTCTGGAGAAACTAAAATATCATTATCAGCTAATGGGAAACAACGGTTAGCAAAGCAAAGGCAACGAAAGGGTAAAGTACACAAATAATCCCCCGATTATAGGATTATACTTTACTGAGTCCTCATACTATTAAAAGTTACAAAATGATCATTTGACAATTCATATGTTTTAAACTCGTCTTTTTTATTAAAAAAAATTGGTGGTCGTCTAAGTTAGATATTAACCTATTGACTGAGATTTGATAAAATTTAATCCCAAATATGTTTGAGTTGTATTTTGTGGATCGACTCTCTTCTTACATTATGCTTTCGAACCATGCTTGAAAGCAACGACGGCGCCAATAGACACCAATAAAAATATAATTTTATCATATCTCAAACAGTAAATTAACGTTCAACTTAGACGATGATCAAATTTTTAATAGAAAAGAACGAGTTTAAAACATATGAATAATCGGATGATCATTTTATAATTTTTAATTTTTGAGAGACTCAACAAAATAAAACCATATAATCAAGAGATTATTTTATAATTTTTAATAATCGATGAACTCAACAAAATAAAATAATATAATCAACAAATTATTTTATAATTTTTAATAATCGATGAATTTAACAAAAATAATATCTTAATATCTTATAATCATGGGATACTTTATATACTTCACCCAAATTTTTAATAGTGAATACCGCAAATATTTGGAATTCAGCAACAAGGCGAAAAGCGAATCCCTTTGGACAATTAATGCGGTCATTGTGGACTTTCCACGTATTTAAGCTTTAACTGGCTCCTTTCATTTATCCCCGCGAGGTTTTATTCTTTTTCTTTTTCGAAGGTTTAATCTATGGAATTTTCACTTAAATATCACTTAAAAATTTTATTTCTTAAATTAATATTCATCATGGCTGATTAAATATTGAATTGAAAGTTTTTAATAAAAATGTATTATGTCACGGTCACATGTATTTTCTGTAAACGTTTTTCAAGAAAAATCTTATACTGATGTCGCATAAATCAATATTTTTTAATATTTGATCAAAATTAATATATATATATATATATATAATATGTGATTTTTGTTCGAATGAATAAATGTATGTGTTGTATGTTAAATGTTAAATGCACGTATTTATATAAACACGAGCTAAACAATAGCTTACTATAGAATTAAAAGGTTATACTTCAGAAAAAATATGCTGGTTGAGCGTGGATGAACACTGTTAACGATGAATACCATTAAACTAATTTATAAAACATTAAACTATAAATTACTAAATATATAATTATAAATTAGTTAAAAATCTAAATGTAATTTAATTAAAATATAATATTTATAAAACATTATTTTTTAGGGTAAACTATACCATTGACCACCTAACTATTTACCCCTTATACTTTAACCACCAATTTTTTAATTTTGTCAATCGAGTCACTTAATTATTTAAATCTTGTCAATCAAGCCATCTGCCGTTAAATATTAATGGGGATATGACGTGACAGTTAATAAAAATTATATAATTATACATTTAGTCCTCATTACTTGCACATTATATTATATTGATCATAACTTTTAATTAATTCAATAAATTTAATTATCAATAAGATGGCGTCATGTGTCGATTGGATTTTTTCTTCATATTTTTATTTAATTTAATAATTTTTCTATCCAATCAAAGTGTCACATGCCACCAATTGAATAAATAGAAAATAAATTGAATTAATTATCGCTGCTAGTGGGGTTTGAACCCAAAACGTAAAGAAAGTAAGCAAGCAACCCCATCCACTGGGGTACACCATTCAAATGGCAAACATATCACGACATAATATATATGGTTAATGGCAATAAAAAATAGGAAAAATGACCTAATAAGAATTCCAACATGGAATAACCGAATAATACGATAATATGGTATATACACACAAATATTATAACTAATTAATATGTAAATGTATTTTATTTATATTTTAAATCATTTTAATGAAAAATAAAAATAAAATATTTTATAATTGAAATATAACAAAGAGCTTCGTTGACTTATAACTGATAGTTGAAGGCTTATCGTAGTAAGCACTTTAACTTATGCATTGACTTGTTTATATCCCGGTTAGATAAGAATTTTATATTTTATTATTTATTCATTATATATTTGAAGAAAATTTTAGGGGAAACTTGATTTTATTAAATTAGTATATTTTAATATAGAGTTGTTAAATAAGATTAGAATTCGATCAACGTTATAATATTTTAAAATATAAGATATGATACATTTCAGTTCAATAAAATTATAATAACGAAGATAATTTATTAATTTAAAGGGTAAACTATATGAATAGTCTCCTATGTTTTCGGTCTGACCGCCTTTGGTCACCAATTTAAAAATATATATTTTATATCTTCATACTATTCAATTATTTAATGTTTGAGTCCTTATAAGGTCATTTATTACCATTAACTATATTATAAATTATATAGATTGTGTTCTATATACTAGACAAATTTAATGGTATAGTTTAGAAGTTAGGCCGCTTAATTTTTCGGCTTGCGTCCCAGGTTCAAAACCCACCAACAACTGTTGTTGATTTAATTTATTTTTCCTTCATTCGATTGGTGACACGTGGCACCATTTGATTGGATGAAAAAAATATTAAAAAAATATTAAAAAATTCAATCACACAATAACATATGTCACAATCGGATTGAAGATTAAATTTATTGAATTAAATAAAAGTTAGGACCAAATTAATAAAATGAGTAAATAATTTGACTAAATATATAATTATACAAATTTTATTAATTGGCACATCATTTCCTCCGTTAATATTTAACGGCAGATGACTTGATTGATAAGATTTAAATAGTTAGTTGACTTTATTAACAAAATTGAAAAATCGGTGATTAAAGTAAAATGGGTAAATAGTTAGGTGGTTAAAAGTATAGTTTACATTAAAAACTAATATTGTATAAATATTGTATTTTAATTAAATTACATTTAGATTTTTAATTAATTTATAATTATACGTTTAATACTTTATAATTGAACATTTTACAAATTAATTTAATGGTACTTATTATTAACCGTGTTCATATGTGCTCGTCGAGCGTGACAACATCATCCTATACTTAAATACTTGAAAATAACTTATATCTAAATAATTTAAGATTTTGAAAAGTTTATTACCGTTGATTTTAAGTTGTCAAAGACAAGTAATGAATTTTGGTATTTTTCATAATGATATTTTAATAAAAATTTATATTATTAGATATAACTTTAACTCACCGATGAAAAACTTCAAATAAAAAAAGAGATATTATTGTTAGGTATTGTTCTAGGTTATGGAATCATCAAATCAAATTTTAGGGTAATTTATTAACTTAATTCATATTTTTATTTTTGTCCTAATTTTTTAATTTAATTATTTATTTATTCTATATTATTAATAAATACATTATTTTTATTAACAATATTAAACATTTATAATAAAAATATTAAAATTAACTCTTTTACCTAATAAAATGTTCACTAATCATTGTCAAATTATAATTAATTAATAATTTATTATCATCAAATAATGATTGTTTTAGAAAGTATCAACTTATATTCAAATGACATTAATCTCATAGAAAGATAAAAGATTGTCTTAATATAGAATAAGGTAATATAAAGCTTCGACTTACAATGGTATGTTCGCATATAACTGCTCAGATTATAAATTTCATTATATTTTAATTAATGTAATGACTATCCAGCTCAGTTGGTAGAGTACAAGGTTTTTAACCTTGGGGTTATGGGATCGAGTCCCACGAAAGGCATTTCATAATTCGGAGGTCTCTTACGGAAGCTGCTCTCAACCTGACGTTGGGGGCAGCCTACTATCCTACCTCCCCCTTACCCCATTACATTTAATCAATAATTTTTTTTTTTGTTGAACAAGGAGAATAATCTAAATCATTGTTTATCTAATTACATTTCTTCAGATGTATTCTTCCCACTATGGCGTTTGGAGGCTGAGAGAATTCCTGTAATCTGTTATGGAGGGTTCATGCATGCATGCAAGCAAAAGAACTTTTATTTTTGGTATGCTTTGATGTTTAGCAATAATTTCCCGTATTTTATCCTCCCGCTTAAATTTAATCAATATGATAATTATTGATAATTGCACTTGTACAACTATTTAGATTATATATTTTAATACTATAAAATTACTTGATTACAATTTTTTAAAATTTTAAATTATTTTATATTTAAATTATTTTAAAATAAATAAACATACTCAACTGAAAAAACTGACATTTGTATTCACATGTTGAAGAATCTAGTATCTCTATATACAAATGTCTATCATAGATATAGATATTATCATGGTTGGATCGGGTTTTTATTCACTCGAACATTTCTTAGAAATTAAACCTTTCATCTGTATTCAATTCGACCTGAGTTAGGAGAATTTTATTCAATCTGAAACTTGACTCAATTTTTGAAATAAAAATTCGCATCTGACCTAACCTAAATATATGTATTTATACATATATTCATTTTTATTAGGTAAAATAAATATATAATTAAAAAAATAATATAGAGAGAATCTTGGATTGGGTCAATCTTTTTTTCACCTAAAACCCGACCATGTTTATTAAAAAACACGATTCAAATCTAAAATTTAAAAATTTATCAGATTCAAGTTGAAATCTATCAGATTCAAGTTAAATGTCTATCAACTAGATCAGTTAGGAATCTCTTTGACCCCATAGCCCAATTCAATATTGACTCAGATGTGAGCCCAAACTATCAAGACTAAGATAGAGACTTCTGGCCCGAAAACATTTCAAATCCACCTAACATAAGATATCCTTTCTTTATAATTTAATTCAGCAGCGATAGGGATTTGCTTTCTAAGATTTTCATTTCTGGATCCGAGATAGAGACCCTGAGGTTTTGCAGTGTCGAGTTTCGGGAAAAAGAAGCAAACTCGCAATGGCGGCGTTTATCAAGCTAGAAGATTCTCCTATGTTTCAAGAACAGGTAATTCCATATTTCGATATTATTTAACATTTGTGATTCGAGAATTATATATTTTAATCTATTTTTCAAATTTGTTTATTAGTCAATCAATCGAGTGTGAATCCGTTTCATGATTTCATTTTTATTACTGAATAATCAAATCTCCATTGAATCTCTGCTGATTAGCAGTTTGTCATTCCATTATTCTTTATTTCTTAAAAGTAAACAAAATGTGTTTGTTGATTGAACAGATATGTTCTCTAGAATCCATGGCTGATGAGTTGAAAAATCGCTGTCAAATGCTGACCGAAGGAAGTAAAAAGTATAGGTATGCATTTTTTTCTCTCTCTCTGTTATCACTATTTCATTTACTCCTGCTAGAAATGATTGTATTTAATTTTTGTTTGTTTTAATTTATGGAGATTATGATTTCTGACTAGTAAGCTTCATTCCTAGGACATTACGGTTGTTCTGATTGATTGCCTTTTCACTTGTCATCTCCACACAATATTAACTGACAACTATGTTGCTCATTTTTCTTTAATCACCATTTACCCATGTCCGACACATAGTTGGAGGTGGACATGAGAATACGATCCTCTGAATATATTGAGAAGCTTTTAGATGATTGAAGATATCTGTACCGGATGCATGCTCTATCCAACACATACTTAAGTTCGAGCTGACAAGATATTTTGAATGTTGCAAAAGCATCAGTTTCTTAGCAAACTTGGTTTAGATTTTGAGTTCAAAATTTGTTCTCTAATATAAATTTATCTTTGTTATCTTCTTTACCTGAGCATGTAACCTTGAATTTGCCCTCTCTGTGTGCCTGTTATATAATTTCAGCTGTAATAAAAAAAGGGTAAATAGTTTTATTGCACAAAACCAATAAAATAAAAGGATATAATAAGGTTCAAGGGCTCACTTTAGTGACTTAAATTGTAAAACATAAGAAGAATTATCGAAGATCTCTCACTGTTATATAATTTCAGCTGTAATAAAAAAAGGGTAAATAGTTTTATTGCTCAAAACCAATAAAATAAAAGGATATAATAAGGTTCAAGGGCTCACTTTAGTGACTTAAATTGTAAAACATAAGAAGAATTATCGAAGATCTCTCACTCTTTCTCTTTACACACACACACACACGCACATATATATATTTTGCTGTCTCTATTTCCTTTGCAGAACAGCTCTTGTAGAAGCATATAATGCAGACAATAGCTTTGCTGATTCTTTAGAAGCATTTGGTTGCGGACATGATGATCCTATGAGTGCTTCCATAGGAGGTAGCCGATATCTCTTTTTATTCAATTTTTTACTACATCACCAGTTAGTTAAATTGTTTTTTACTAGTTAATGTCAACAACATTTTGTTCTATTGTTACTAGTTTTATTTTGCATGTATGTGTGTTTCTGACTTCTGAATAACATTTCTCGTGTAAACTACTGTATATAACAATGGCAGAAAGCCAAAAGCCATTCGGCTATTTTTCCTTTTGTCATTTTGCACAATAAATTCTATTAAACGGTGATTGCTTTTTCACCACTTAATTTGCATTTACATCCTTATGTTCGTCCCGTTACAGTGTTTTTTAAATGTCAAGGCAAAGAAATGTTAGGAGATCTAATTGGGTGGGAATGAAGTTAGCTTCCAAATTACTTGGTGAATATTTAGAAATATGTACTCTTATTCAGAGTGCTAGGTTGGAGCCTCATATTTGACCTTTTTTACTGTAAAAGTAGAGATCTTGGGCCTGAAGTCTGTGCAAGACCGGATCAAAAGTGGATACATTTAGTTCTCCAGCTTATCTATGGATATTCTAGTTCAGTTAAAGATGTTTCCCATTCAAGAGTTGGGAGTTAGGTGAACCAATTGAGGTTTTAGGTGAACCAGTCAAGGTCTTAGTTTTTTAGAAAAATATTCCAATAATTTCTTATGGAGTTGTGTGGCTGATATGAAATATGTGGTAGGAAGACAATGATAATGATAAGCTTATATAATATTAGCTTTACTCTGTGTTTCAGATAGTTATATACAGATTGCTTACTCTAGAGGATGAGGAGAAACCTAATAACCTATTCTACCATTATTTTTTTTGATAGGACCTATTCTACCATTATTGATGACCAATGAAGCTTTTGTCATGTAGTTGCTCATTTTAGCTGTGGAAAGAAGCTGTATTCCCATTAGTTTAGGTAGAAGGATTTTACTTCTCAGTAACCCATCTAATCTCTGACCCATGAAAACTCCCCAAAAGTTGAACCAGGAAGATTTGTTGTTATGCCCTATGACATTGTGCTGATGATTGTAAAATATTTATTTAGATGTGTGTCTGGAATGCCATGGCACCCCTTAAGATATTTGTTTAGAAACTGCTTGGAACTTTTGCTTCAGGAGATTTTAGTTAATTGAGATTGCATAGGGTATCTAAGACTTTTTTTTTTAAATAAAAAAAAACTGAAAAGGATATGGTGAAAGAGTGGTCTATGTTTTATTTTTTCATTGTTTTGGCTGCTGGTAAGTTGTGGTCTGTGTTTTGTTCCTTCTATTTATTTTTACTGGCTACAACTCATCTGATGGTTGAGTTGTCCAGCTGGAAGATGATATGAAGATTATCCTGTTGGTCCTTTAAATTACTAATGAGGTTAAGCTTTTAGTTTCCCTACCTCTTACTTTTTTTTTATAAGATTCCCTACCTCTTACTAAACTGCTGCTTAGGCCCAAGTATTTAGCTGCTTCAGTTTTCCTTAGTGAATATAAGTCATAGGTAACTAGCTTGCTTGTTTGCTGACTGAGATTTTTTTCTTCTCTTTTTGGTGCAAAGAGCTTTAGAGTTTTAATTAATGCTTTATTTTTTTCCTGGTTTTCTATTTCTTTATGTATGCCTCTGTGTTTGTTCGAATCAATATTTTCCCCCCTTTGTTGTGCCTTACGCAAATTTGGTTATCAAAGATTAAGATGTAAAATGTAGAAGGAGAAGATTATGTGCCTGATTTGTGCTGTTGAAGATAGAATTACTTAGCTGAAAGATTGAAGATTCCACCTTAATATTTTTTAAATGTTTCCTTTTGTAGGGCCAATCACGTCCAAGTTCATCAATGTCTTTCGTGAGCTTGCTAGCTATAAGGAGTTGCTTTGTTCACAAGTGGGTATCGATTTGCCATCTAGAAAAAAGCGATTCTTTCTTATACGATTGAATTAGACTGGGATACATTGTCTCTGTCTTATTAGTGCTTATTACAAATATATTTGGTTTTTTTACCAGCATTTTACTTTATTGTGATTTTCTTTGGCAACATTCATCTTTCTTTTTTGTTTTTGACTCGATTATGCATGATTAAATAGTGTTGGTGCCTCAGGTATATATAAAGATCATAAGGATTGATATGCCTTTATATATTTCTAAGTCGTTTGGTGTTGTAAGCCATTCGTAAAATATCTGTTAATGAAATTACATGGGAAAATGTTGTGTCTAATGTCATAATTACTTATGGATTCACTCCCAACATGAGTATGAAAGACAAATTAATCAGAACACAAGCTTCTAGATGACTGATATCATGTACCTTTAAACTTGCATTTGTAAAGGTGCGCCTATATAAGGTATCAATTCCTAATAAGCTGACATGTGATAGAAATCAAGGACCTTTGCCATTTGTCTTTCAAAAAACATGCTAAGTACATGCATGTATGCAACCTGTACTTTAGTACAGTCTTATGAAATATGTCTTCTACCAAAAGTAGATTCACCTGTTCAGATTGTAGCTTTGTTCTAAAGTGTATTTAACGTGTTAATTTCTACATAGGAAACTACTTTCTAAATTCCTCATTTTCTGTCTGATGTCTTGTGTCAAACTGGTTAGGTTACCTTGCTCTTTAATATAATCGTATTACCGAGCATTGGATATGTTGCATGAATGCTAACAATCTTAAGGTCACTTGCAGCGTAACTTCAGATGAGAAAATTTTTATTTTAGAACACTTTTTATGTCAGAGAGTCAATATTAACATTTACCTCATGCCACTGGGAAGCTCAATTTTATATCATAGTTTGAAATTTGAATAATCCATTACAGGTGGAGCATGTCTTAATTGATCGGCTAATGCACTTTACAACTGTTGACTTGCAAGATGCAAAGGTGAAGCTAATTCAATCACTACCTCAATTTTTTTCATTTTCTAAATTTGGTGGTTTTGATCATCAATTTGGAATTGATGTTGTTATCAACTTGCCACATTTCCATAGTCCAAGTCACTGGGATTAACTTGATTTTGCATTGAAAATTGGATGTGCTTGCACAGTGGGTTGTTAATGATTGCTGCAGTTTCCTTGGGTTTTCTTGTGACTCTTTAAATTTGATCTAGGTATATTGGATGATATAGGATGATTGATTTTTGTTTAACCCACTTTGGTTTTATAGCAAACCTGATTACTTGTCATTTTTTCTTTAGTCTATTCATGTGCTATGTTTGGATAAGTTGAGACATTTTAGAAGGGGCCAAAATTGAATTATTTCTTCCACTATAAAACATCATTCTTTAGTTTTCTTGTTATTTCTGTGGTTTGAGTTTTATGGTTTCTCTTGTCTCACTTGTTTCTGGGTTGAAGCTTATCCATTTCCATTATCCTCCATACCATGTATCCGTGTAGTTTGCTGTTTGCCTAAGAATATGTTTATTTAAATCCATGTACTTAAAGTAAGAATATTCCTTTTCCTTTACCATTTAATAATTTCCACTAAATTTGCCTCCTTTGCTTCTTTCATTATTGTTTTGATAATGAAGCTGTCTCTAGCAAAACTAAGTAATCCACTTTGGAATATTAAACTCAGAATGTTGGGAAAAATATGACCCTAAAATGAATAGAACCTAATCCTGAGCCATATTAAGTTTCTTTTTTGCCCAGGACATATTAAAGTGTTTCTTATCCAAGTCATGGACATTACTGTGTTTTAGAAGAGTGTATATTGCCTGCATAAGAACTCTTATACACTCTTTGCGGATTAACATATTGGATTTAGTTCTTGATAATCGTTGAAGCCCAATATTTGCAGTATGGCTTGAGATGTCTTGTCTGAATACAATAAATTCTGAAGGTAGGAGTTTGGTGGGTGGGTGCGCCAGGTGGAGAATGAATCAGATAGGAAAATATAATGATTACATTCATTATTGTAGTTCCACATTTTTCATTACATTTTTTTTCTTTTTTTTTTGCTAATTAGATTAGAATGTGGAGCTAAATTCAAATCTTTATTTCCCCTGCCCTCACAATTTACATGACTGCTCTTCTCCTCTTGTCTTTTTTCAGGAGTCTCGTCAACGATTTGACAAAGCTATCACTGGATGTGCTCAGGTATTAACACAACAGAAACTTCCTTTTCACATGAAGTTGAGTTTGGGCTTTCATATTAGCGACAATTTGAGTTTCCTTCACTGTTTCTCTTTCTCCCTCTTACTTTTGAGGTCATCTCAAGTAAATTTTTGAACAATCCAATTCTTAGGTACATATCATGTTTATATGTACTAGCACAGAAATCTTCTAAATCAAAAGCTATTAAATAGAGTTGAATAACCAAGAAACGAAATTAGTAACCTGATGAAATGTCTTGTTTGTTCTAAACTCGGAATATTCTTTGCATCAAACAGATTTGTTACTGGTTTACTATCTTCAATATTATGTAGCAAACATTATTGAAGATGTCTCATTTCTACATAAATTCTCCATTGGGTTTACTAATCCAGATTCTATGAAATCAAAAGTAAGTTCAGTGGATTTATAAAAGTTTTAAATATTAGCTACTTTTCCTCTGAAATTTTATTAAGTCCCCGAGCAAGCATAATAAACGAAAAAGGGTGTACAAGAGTCAGTATGAGTGAGAAAAGTAGAGAGAGAAAAAGAGCGAGTTTTTTTGGTAGTTCGTCCTCTGGTGAGGAATGGACTGTCTTTGTTGACAATCTTAGTACGAGAGTTACTAGAATTGAGTTAAGAGAGATTTTTAACCATTATGGAAAAATAGTGAGGGTTTTTATTCCAAGTTTTATGTCTAAACCAAATTATAAGTCATCCACGTTTGCTTTTGTGCAATTTGCGAAGGAGGTAGGTTGCAGAAGAGCAGTTCATAATGTAAACGGTACGCTGATTGATGAGAAGAGAGTCTCAGTGGGGATTGCAAAGTACAAGAGGGGCAGAAAAAGAGAAGCAGAGGTAAAAAGAAATCAGTTGGATGGTTTTAAGCTTGGTAGAGAGGTTAATGGTGAATTGCAGGCTACGTTGGAGAAACCGAGAAGTTTGAGAGATGAAAGATCGTATAAGGAGGTTGTGAATGTGGCCAACAGTAGGAGCGTGGATCCAGGTCGTATGGTGAATAAGGGAGGTCAGAAGAATGCAAATGGAATAGAAATGTTTGGGATATGCATTTCCCATCAGATGATTTTTGCTGGGTGAAAAACTCCTTAACTGGGGTTATCAAAGATCCATTTCAGCCTGATATGGTGAAGAGAGCTTTGGCAAAGGAGGGATTCCAGGTTAAGATAATAAGGTGGGGATATATCAGGAACGCTAGCATTATTATGTTCAATACAAATGAAGAGTTTTTAGAGGCATGGTCGAGTCTCCGAGAGAAACTATACTGCTGGTTTGATTGGGTAGATCCGTTGTTGAGTGAAGATGGAGTTCCTTTGGCTTATTGCTTGGTCGAGTTGGTTGGTTTACCGCTTTTTAGTTGGAGTGTTCCTTTTTTGGAGAAGCTTGGTGAAAAATGGGGAAAGGTTGTGAGTATCCTGGAGGAAACAAGAAATAGAGATGATCTTTCTTTGGCCAGAATGCTGTTGAGGGTTGCAAGCCCTTTTGATGTACAAGAATCTGTTATTGTGGGTTCTTATGGCAGATCCTTTAAAGTTAAAATTAATGTGGGTACCAGTTGTAATCCTAACTCTGAAGATTTTGGAGTCGTGAGGCGGAATTTTTCATATAGCAGCTTCAATAACGATGTGTCAAAGGGGGACGATGGTAGAAACTTAGAGAAGGAAGAAGACAACAGGGAAAATTCAGAAAAAGGATTTCGGTCAAAGGTAGACACGTGGCTTCAGACCAGTCTAGAAAGGAGGATGTCAGAAGAAGACGAGGAACATTATTTGAAAAAGAAGTCTGTCACTCTGCCCAATAATAATGGGGTGTCAGACAAATTTGAATTTGATTTAAACTATTGTGGGGATTATGCAGGAATTGGGCTGCGAGAGGCTGTGGACCAGAGTATCCAAGCCCATTCTGATTCAAATGGGGAGTCTCTTTCTCCTATAACTAAAATTTTCCCAGCGGGCCCTGTTGTGAAGTTGAATTGGGCCAGGGCAGTAAATAAAAAAAAGGATCAGCCTTTGTCCGATTTTCAAGATCAAGATACAGATGTAATGAGGGATGAAGGTATAGTTAACAATAGAGATGTTCAAAAGAAGTTGAGAATGGTAAAGGATGTCAATCAAGTAATTCTCAATGCGGGTAGTGATTCTTCTTTTTGTAAGAAGAAGAGAAATTCAGTGAATTTCGAGGACTGTGAAGAAATTGAGCCTTTAAATCCTAACTTAATGCTGTCAGCTCCTAATCAGGAATCCTCACAGTTTTCTTCAAGAGGCAGAACGTTGATTCAACATAGAAGATTACTTTCTTCTAAAAGTGTGCCATTAGAGAGGAGGAGAATGGCCAACTATAGAAGATTTTATAGTAGATCGAGGGTGAGAAATCACTGGGTTGGAAATGAACAGAAAGAACTTTCGTCTAGAAAAGAAGATTTTCAGCAGTTTTCTTCAGATAAAATGGGAAGTTGGAAAAGGCTATTAATTGTTCTGCTAATAATCAGAACTCTTCTGTGGTACCATTTATTAGGAATAGCTCTTCAGAGGTTGTGGAAGCAACTACTATTCCTGCTACAGGGACAAAAAGAACTAAAAGAAGGGAGAGAAGAGTTTTAACTAGGGAAGCAGTGGATCTGGTTAATTCACCTAGTGTCTTTTCACCTCAATTCTCGAAGGTGGTGGAGGAAGCAATGGCTACTTGGGAAGTTTGTCAGTTGTTAGGCCTTTCGTTCAAGGAAGGTAAGAAGACTTTCATAGAAAAAATTTTAAGCCTGGAAGATGGGTCTGAGTCAGCAAGGGATGGATGATTTGCAGAGTCTCACTTTTTTGCTGTTTGGAGAGTTGGGTTTTGGTTGTGGGAGTGTTGTTTTTTGATGAATAGATTAAACATTTTATCTTGGAACATTAGAGGGTTAGGGGGGAGAGAAAAATATATTGCTGTTGCAAGGCTAGTAAAGAAGGTTAGACCAGTTCTGCTTTTTATCCAAGAATCAAAGTTAGAAAAATGTCATGTATCGATTACTAGAAAGATTGGAGGAAATTTCTTAAAGGAGGTGATGGTGTCTCTAGCACAGGGGTCAAAGGGTGGTTTGATTTCTATGTGGAATGATAATGCGTTCAAAGTTACAAATAAGCATGTGCACAATAGGTTCTTGGCACTGGTGGGAAATTATATGAATGACCAAGAGGAATGCGCTTTTTTTAATGTCTATGGTCCTGTTATTGAATCTGAAAAAGATGAATTTTATGGGGAGTTGTTAGATTTTGTTGGATCTACCGGTTTGTATAGGGGGTGACTTTAATGCGTATCTTGATCCGCAAGAAAAAAATGGGAAATCACAGAATTGGCATACATTTGATATTTTCATATCTTTTGTGCAACAGGCAAATCAAGGTAAATCTTATTGATTTGCCTATGTCAGGAGGGACTTTCACATGGTGTAGCAATAGAGAAGATTCTACATGGGTTAGACTAGACCGCTTCCTAATTAGTGGTAGTTTCCTGAACAATTTTCCTAAGATCTCACAGTCCCTTCTATCGAATTCTATTTCTGATCACAATCCAGTTTTGTTGGAAGATGTTAGTATCAATTGGGGCCCTAAACCTTTTAGATTTTTTAATTACCTTTTAGAGGAAAAAGGTTTTGATGGATGGGTAGAAGACTTGGTGTCTGTTGAGAAGAAGAAGAGGAATAATGGGGGGATTTTTAGGATGTTATAGGCTGCTAAAAAACAGATTAAAAGATGGCCTGGAGGTAGTCACTTTGGGTTGTCAGATTCAATTTCGATGCTTGAAGTACATGACTTGGAAAGAAAGTCTCAATGTCGAATCTTATCTAAGGGTGAATGGGATCAGTGGGTTGACTGCAAAAAAGAGTTGTGGAGGTTGTTTAGGATCGAGGAGAGCATTTGGTATCAAAAGTCCAGAAGTAGGTGGATTAAGGGTGGAGACAGAAATACTAGGTTTTTTCATCTAAGTGCTATGAGAAGGAATAGAGTAAACTCCATTCATTCATTGAAAATTGATGGAGTTTTAATTTCGGATGCGGGAAAAATAAAAGAAAGTGTGTATAGTTTTTTCAAGTCTGCATACAACTTCAATTCGGCCTTAGAGGCAGAGGACTTGAATTTGGATTTTGCACAGTTAACAACATCTAAATGCGCATATTTGGAGGAGGAATTCTCGGAACAAGAAATATGGCAAGCAATTTCTTCTTCGGATAGTACTAAAGCTCCTGGACCGGATGGTTTTACCATGGGTTTTTACAAGAAATACTGGAAAATTCCTAAGAATCATATTATTGAGTTTTTCTCAGATTTCTATAAAGGAAAGAAGTGGGTTCATGGAGTTAATCATGCATTTATTACCTTGATTCCTAAGAAAGGTAATCCTGAGTGTATTGAAGACTATAGACCTATTAGTCTTGTGGGCAGCCTGTACAAAATTCTGTCAAAAGTTCTTTCCAAGAGGCTAATATCGATTATCGATGATATTATTAGTCTGTCACAGTTTGCTTTTATTCCGGGAAGGCAATTGTTAGATTGTGCATGTTTGGCCAACGAAGGTATTGATTCTTAGAGGAAGCAAGGACTTAAAGGGGTTGTATTTAAAGTGGATTTTAGTAGAGCCTACGACACTGTGGAGTGGCAGATTCTGCAAAAGTTAATGATAAAGATGGGATTCGGCGAGAGGTGGTGTTCTTGGATCAAACAATGCATTTCAACGGCTTCTATCTCGGTTCTAGTGAATGGTTCTTCTACTGAAGAGTTCCCGATTGCTAAAGGTTTGAGGCAAGGTTGCAGCCTTTCTCCTCTTTTGTTTAACATGGTTGGGGAATTACTACATTTGATGCTGTCGAAAGTAATGGACTTGGGTTTTTTTCAGGGGTTCTCTTTTGGAAACATTCAAAACTCTTTTACTTTGTCTCACCTGCAGTTTGCAGATGATTTAATTATTTTTTGTCGAGATTCAATTAATCAGATAAAGAATGTTAGAAGAGTTTTGAGGATTTTCGGTTTATTGACGGGGCTCCAACTGAATTTAGCAAAAAGCAAGCTGTATGGGATTAATGTGGAGAGTGACATCCTTGATGTTTGGGCTAGGGATATTGGCTGCTCTGTTGATTCATTCCTGACTGTTTACTTAGGTCTACCTTTAGGGGAGAAGAAGAACTCGGCAAAGCTTTGGGAACCGGTCATTGATAATTTCAGCAAGAAATTGGCAGGCTGGAAAGCTAATTCTCTATCTATGGCCGGTAGGTTAGTACTTATTAACTCGGTTTTATCTTCCCTACCTATTTTTTACCTATCCATTTTTAAGATGCCTTCTACTATTTCTCACCGGTTAAATTCCATGATGTCGATTTTTTTATGGGGTGGAGGGGATGGAAAGAAGAAAATTCACTGGGTGAGCTGGGATAAAATTTGCAAACCGTTGAGTGCTGGTGGTTTGGGTGTTGTTGATTTGAATGTTTCAAACCGAGCTTTGTTGGGTAAGTGGATTTGGAAATTTGCAAATGACAAAAATTCGATGTTGAAGAAATTCTTATGTTGTAAACACAATGTCAGCTGTCAGACCATGGATATTAACAAGGTTATTTCTCAAAATGACTCTTGGATGTGGAGGGGAATTGTTAATAACTTCATTAAGGATGATACCATTGGAGGTTGTCTTAGATCTCATGCAAAGATACAAATTGGGAATGGGAAATCTATATCCTTTTGGTGTGATACATGGCTTGGGGAGTTTCCTTTGAAATTTCTTTTTCCAAGAATTTTTGCCCTTTCTACTAATAAAACGGGTAATGTTGCAGACTTTGGGAGTTTTGATTCAACCGGATGGGAATGGTGTGTGAAGACTAGGAGGAATCTTTGTGATTGGGAGGTGGAGCAGCTGGTAGAGCTGTTGGATAGGCTGAAAAATGTTAAACTTATTGAGTCATTGGATGATGGGTTGTTGTGGAATGGGTTGAATGTGGGGCTGTTTTCTGTTAAAGATTGTAGGAAAGCTCTTTATAATTTTAATGATGAATCTTTATTTTGGAGTAACTGTGTTTGGTTGGGCTTAGTTCCTCCTAGAGTAGAATCTTTCATTTGGCAATTGTCCCATCAAAAAGTTGATGTTAGAGTTGAATTGTTGAGAAGAGAGGTTCCTTTAGGGGAGAACATTCTCTGCCCACTTTGTAACCTGCAGGATGAATCAATCCAGCATCTTTTAATTTCATGTCGAGTTTCGTGGGAACTTTGGTATAAGATTATAGGGTACTGGGGTTTTCGGTTAGTTTTACCGCCAGACCCTCCTTCTCTGCTTAGTTCTTGGGCTGATGTGAATCCTAAATCTGCTATGTGGAAGTTTATTCCGGGGGCAGTTTTTTGGTCAATATGGAAGATTAGAAATGAGATCATTTTTGAGGAAAAGAAGTTGGATAGATTATCATTGTTTTTCACTGTTCGGTTAAGGTTAGCCAAATGGTATTTGGCAAAATATCCACTTATCCCTATTCAGGTGGATTCTTTAATTGCTGACCTTTCTTTGGCTGATAATCTAACAGAGTTCATAGACATGAATAGGAGGGCGATTTGTTGGAGTCCTCCTCCAGTGGATTTTTTTAAGTTGAACGTGGATGGGGCTATTAGTACGGTTGGTATGTATGCTGGAATAGGGAGAATTCTCAGAGATTGGAATCGGGATATTCTTTTCTCTTTTTCAGAAAGTGTCGGTCCTTATCCTACAATCCTAGCAGAGCTGAAGGCTATCAAAAAAGGAATTGACCTATTTGTTTCATCACAATGGGCTTCGAAGGGCAGACTAATTATTGAAAGCGATTCAAAGATAACAGTGGATTGGATTAAAGACCAAGCTCTTACACCTGCTTTTCTGTCAAACTTTGTCAAGGAAATTGTGTCTATTTTTTCTGCTATTCAGGCTTTTGTTAGGTGGATTCCTAGATGGTGTAACTGTGAGGCCGATAAGTTAGCAAAGGAAGGAATTGGGTAATTTTTGTCGTTGCTTAGGCAGGTTTGTAAGCCTTAAGAGCAAAGTACCCTCAGGACTGTTTTTAAGTTTTATGTAGTTTGCAAGACTGTTTTTAAGTCTTATGTATCTGGTTTATTATCAATAAATTGATGCACTCTTTTCCTCCTTCCGCTAGGTGGTCCTAGCTTTAGGGCAGAGGACCACTATGAGGGAGGTTTTTAATGAGGCATCCTATTCCTATCAAAAAAAAAAAGCATCATGTTCCTTGATTGTTGTAATAGATAATGCTTTTTACCAAATAATCTGTATTGGCAGGCACGTGAGAAGTTTGTCTCTTTGAAGAAAAACACACCAGAAGATGTTGTTGCTGTGCTAGAAGAGGTATGCTCTTTCCTTTTGTAATATTGACTTCACACATGTTTTAAAGAAAGGTGAGAGACGACGTTCTTTTACCATGCTCCTTGTGTTTTGAGATGACATTCTTTTACTATGCTCCATGTGTTCTGCTAGTTCTCTCACTTTTCTGTTTTGCTGAATCTGGTTCATTAATTGATAAATGTTTTACTATTACAGTACCTTCAGAAAGAAACAAAGCACATATTCTCTTGATTATGGATCTGATATCATTTTAGCTTGTAGTTATGGTACTTGTTTTGTATTTGAACTATAAATCCTGATGTTGTGCCTTTCTCTTTGCTTACCTTTTTCTGAAGAAAGCATGTTTCCACTTGTCTGGATGAAATATTTACACAATATGGTCTTTTCTGCATAGGTATCAATCATGTTGTCTCTAGTATGCTCATATTTGATCCACATTGACAAAATTTTAAATACCTTCGAGTCCATTAGGTAAAATTATGAAAATTTGATGCAAATTTTAGATATCCATTAAGTGCAAATCTTAAACTTTCCTTCTGAGACCCTATAAGTAATACCTCTTTTTCTTCAAGTTTGGCTTTGTTTTTTGGTAATGATTGCATTGTTTGTTCGGATTATACCATGTCATTGACCACATCTCTTGTGTTTTCTTGATAACTTCCAACCTTGTATAAAACTAACCTGGCTTGTGCTCTGGGTTGGATTGGGTTTTAATTTTTGGCAGGATCTAGAGAATTCAAAATCTGCTTTCGAGAGAAACCGCTTCAATTTAGTATGTTTACTGTGGTTGCAAAGCTCACTGTTTGTTTGTGTTCAATTATTGATATTATTCCATGCGTGGTCTGGTAACTTTTCATTTTGGTTTAAGGAAAACAGGTAAATTCTCTAATGAATATTGAAGCAAAAAAGAAGTACGAGTTTCTAGAATCTATAAGTGCAATTATGGACGGCCACCTTAGATATTTTAAGCTGGTTTGTATTTTCCTTTTAGACTTCTTTTTGGTAGTTATATGAGTTATGTTTGTGGACTGAATATAATTGATTGCTTTTGTCATAGGGGTATGACTTATTGAGCCAGTTGGAACCATTTATTCACCAGGTAATATATCACATTGTTCATTTAGGGAGGAAAAGAAAGTTGATTTTCACTTCCAGTTAACAGTATTAATTATTTAATAACTTGTAATCAGTAGAATCAATGGTTTCAAAACAAGCTTCCATGGAAAGTTGGCTCTGCTATTAGCCTATGAACTATGAATACAATGTTGGATGCATTGGAAACTAGGAAAAAAAAATTGTTCAATGTAACTAATCCATACACTTTGTGAATACTCTCTTTTCTTTTAGAAGCTAGTATTGATATTGCTTGCACTCCCATTTCTTTTCTCAAGCATATGATTAGAAGTGTTTTTTGTTACAAAGTATAAACAGATACAAGACATATAGCTGTATTCTTGTGTGTTTTTCTTTTGGGAGTTAACATGTCTAAGTTCTGTCTGTCAATGCATGTAAACTTATCTATACCCTAGAATCATCTAGTTGCATGGTAACTGTTTATCATTAAACTGAAAAAATTATATCCAGTTACTGACAATAAATTTACACTCAAAAAGGATAAAGTAAGAGAGATGAAAATAGGAAGCAAAGAAATATCGTATGATGGTAAAGATAGAGCAAGAAAAGAAGGAAAAGATAGGGAAAAGATAAAATTATAATAATAATAAGAGGAAAAAGTAAAATATTTAGAGGAAGAATATTAGATTCAGGATTGGAGGGGTTACCATGACTTCTTTAATCAAAGTTCTTTGAATTTTATTTTTAATGGCCTTTGGAACTTCTAGTAATGAAATACCACTTGATTTCAAGCTCACACTTTTAAACTAAACCAGCACAGTTTAAACTTAAATGAGATTTAGGGTCAGCATAGGCCTCAATTAGTATGCAATCTTCATAGTGGCCCAGCACATATATTTCAAGAGAGCTGTATTGGGAGTCTTTTCTTTTTTTAACATTTTTTTTTATCATTTTAAGTGTCCACTACAATATCCTAAATTTGGCCACTTTTTGGTCAAATCCTTGAGTCTAAAACTTATAGGAAAAGACAAATGAAACAAATGGATGCATATCATCTGGTATTTTTACCAAGTCCGTGTAAAATAGAATTCGTCTCCTGAATTCAATTGTAGATATTGATTTATGTTCTCTTTTATATACATGCATAATTTTCATGCATGTCTCTGTTAGATGGTCTTACATTGTGTAGGACACACACTTTTCATCTTAAAATTGTGATTTTGTTATCGCATTTGTTTATCCAGTTTCTCCTCTATATTAAATTAGTTTATCATGGTTTGATATAACAGGTATTGACATATGCCCAGCAAGCAAAGGAATTAGCAAATGCTGAGAAGGATATGCTTGAAAAACGTATTCAAGGATTCAGGACCCAAGCTGAGATAGATGCTTTGCGATCTTCTAGTAACATAGAGCCGTCAACAAGTTCTGGTAGCATTCATGTTATTGGCATGAACACAGACAAAAACATAGAGGCAATCATGCAGTCCTTCATAGATGGGGAGGTGAGTTAGTAATATTCTTTTCTGATTTTATCACATTGGCAGTGTGTTTGTTTCATCAATTTTATTTGGAGGATGAAATAATATTATATTTTTTCATTCCTTTTCAGACCCATATAATCAAACAAGGATATTTGTTAAAACGCCCTTCTAGTTTGAGGGGAGATTGGAAGAGGAGGTTCTTTGTACTTGATAGTCAAGGAACTTTATACTATTATAGGAGTAAGGGTACCAAACCAATGGTATGTTACATTTACTTTGCTGCTGCCCTTGGTTGATCAAGTTTAACAATTCATCATGAAACATGTTGTCTTCTAAATAAGATTATGGATAATGGGAACATGTATTCTTGATTTCCATCTTGATGCAATTTGACAAATTTGAGGAGGTGTGACACTATAGTAAGTATTATATGGTTTTGTTGTGCTATGACAGTGTCTTTCAGATTGAGAAAATATGGAGAGAGATTATTGATTCCATTCACATAGCAAGTTCACAAGTGAAAAGAGTAGACTTACAATTTCTCTTTGCCTCATGTTTATCCGTCTGTTTGGTTAGATTTGGAGAGAAATGGAAATGACTAATGCAATTCTACACAAATTTTCAAATAATCCTTTAGATGTAGTGACAAAATGTGTGTCCAAAAATTTTAAACAGGAGAGACTCGAATTTCTATCAAAGCACTTCATATATTTACTATCTATTCTCATCTTTCTTATTAACTCAAAATACATTGTAGTCTGGATATGCTCAAAGTTATGAAGTTGCTGTATCTGGCTGCTGAAAAGTTAAAAGTCAATTTTAACCTTGTTTTCCAGCCAGCTCTTCTAAATCATTTGAGTTCCTCATTCATTAGGAAGAAGGCTTCTAAGTTGCATGAGTATAATTTGTATTAAAATGTTATGTTTAGCTGGTTGGGAGAGAGAAGGCTTCTAAGTTGCATTAGTGGACTTTATGGTAAAATGTTGATTTGAACATGGTCTGACAATATCTTCTTTTTCAGTGATGCTTATCAGTCAGTATCTGTCTTTTAAGATTTTAGAGCAAAATTTCTCATCCTTTAAGATTTTAGAGCAAAATTCTTACAGGCTATTAAGCCCAAGTTTCAATTGCTAAATGATGTTTCCCATGTTTGTTTCTGTATGAACAAATATATTTATAGGGGAGAGATTTATGTACATATCGGCAACTTGAAAGCCCAGATAGTATATTTGAGTCTTTCATCTTCCCCCTAATTGGCTTTTGATACAGTGTTTTTATCTAGTGTAAATATTTTCAAATTATTGGCAGCCTGAAGACCCATGGAATTTTTGACAGTTGGTTTCATGTTTTCTACTAAATTTTCAGATCGCTCAGATATGCAGATATTAGAGTTAATTTGAAATTGAAATGCAACAAGCATGATGCATATAGATAGTAGATTGAGTCCAGTAGATGATTCCATGGATAAAACATTGCATAAGGCTTAGGTTAGACAATAAATCTATTTGAAAATGAAGTGAAAATGATCTTGATGAGGTATGATTTTACTTTCTCTTCTTTATTCCCAGGGTTCTCTCCATCAGTATGCTGGTTCGGCTGAACACAATAGTGGTGTATTTTCAAGATTTCGTGCAAATCATAATAGGTCATCATCGTTTAATGAAGATACTTTGGGCTACCATCCGATTGATCTTCATATTTCAACCATAAAGATGGACACAGAAGATACAGATTTACGGCTTTGCTTCAGGATCATATCTCCACTGAAAACATACACATTGCAGGTGATATTGATTGGTCATTGAAATCTTTTTTGCTTCACTTTTCCTAAACTTATCAAGAATGTAGTTTAAAAGCATATCAAGGTCACATTATGATACGCTTAACTGACTACATAGAGCGTGAAAAGGGTTTGTTTTCTTGCTGTTATTGTTGGATTTTTGCTTGAAATTTTGTGTATTGTAAATTATCTCATGAAACCTTAATTATAGCTATTTAAGATTGACCAAAGTTTGAACTCTTGATGATTGATGCTATGGTCTTATGCCCCTTAAAAGAGAAAGAAGCATTTATCAAATCCCTTGTTTGAATTTAAGTGTGAAACAATTATTACAATTATGCTTGAATTAGATAAGTAAATGCGATGATTGTGCTGGTACTTTTTGTCACTGTTCTGTTCAGGCTGAAAATGGGGCAGATAGAATGGACTGGGTTAATAAAATAACTGCAGTTATTACATCTCTCTTCAACTATCGTATCAGGCAGCAGGTTCTTTTTTTCCCCTTAAAGCCATTCCTTTTCTATTTCTTGTGATTCTGATACGAGATTTCTCATGAAATGCTACTGATAGTGATTTGGTTCTGTTGTGGCTGCATTTGGGAAAAAAAGCTTGTGGAGAATAAAGATTTTACACGCAGAGCTTCTTCTAATGCTAGGTCACCTAAGAGCCTTCCTCCTTTAGGGAATGACCGAATTGGCAACAGAGCAGATCCTGTCTCTGCAGTCCTCAGAGAAATTTCTGGAAATGATGTTTGTGCAGAGTGCAATGCTCCTGAGCCAGATTGGGCGTCTCTTAATCTTGGCATATTATTATGCATTGAATGTTCAGGTGTACACCGTAATCTTGGTGTACACATTTCAAAGGTGCAATTTATTCTTCAAAGAAGAGGAAAAGACCTTACGACCGTTTTATTTTTTGTTAATTTTGCTATGTTGGTTTTTAATTCATAATTAATAATCTATATTTGGTCTTCAACCTGTGTAAGGTTTCGTAGAAACATGTAGGTTATGCTCTTTGGTATTACTAAACATTTAGTGTCCGCTGTTAGCTGTGATGTAGTTATATTAATACTACAAAAAATTTATTCTTATAGTAGAGAGATTGAAGGGTATTAGGTAGCGGCTATGGTTTCTTCTTACTAATCTTGTTATTTTAGCTATTACACTTTCCATATTTGGTTTCTTGAAACTGAACTTAATGCATTGTATACCATGTCATAACTATTGCTACCTATACAGTTGGTGTACAAGGTAGGAAGTCCATTTTAGAGTGAAATATTTTAGATTGTTGAAATGATTTCCACATTATGGTCTCTTAAGTATTTACCTCCGTTCATTTCCAACATTTTTGGGTGTTTTACCTATCTGTTAGGAGAATATGTTGTACAATTTCAAACCTGCTTCTATACTTTCAGTTTGCTTGTCTTATGGTTGTATCTTATGTACTTTGGTTATGATCAATAAAATCCTAAGGCACTCTTTTCCTTCTTCCGCTGATTAAGGAGCTTCTCTAAAAGATCCTTTAATCAAGAAGGGGGTTTTTAACGAGGCCTGTAATTCTTATCAAAAAAAAAAAGTTCCCTTCATTTTCTACACTTCTGGGTGCTGGAGCAGGCTATTGGGATAATCTGTTGTACAATAAATGACTTTTATGTCATTGACTTGTAAGTAGTGTTGCTGTGAAAATGTGGACTATACGAGCTGTTACGTTCCAACCCCTGAATTTTATGAGTTGAATTACAATCCACTTGCTATTTTAACACGCAAAATAAGAAAATTTAAGTCAGAAGAACAAATATCTTTAAAAAAGGGAACAAATAAGAGGGAGGAGGTTGAGAGAAAGAAATTTCTGTTCTTTCATTTTAAGATTCTTTAATAAAATAAAAACTAATTTTCTCCGTACAGGTGAGATCTCTGACATTAGATGTTAAAGTGTGGGAATCTTCGACCGTGGATTTATTTCGTTCTCTGGGTAATGCTTACTGTAACTCTGTATGGGAAGGTTCACTTTTTCAGAATGAGAGGTAAGATTTCCTTGGGCTAACAGGAAAATGAAAATGCTGCTACTAAACTAATCTGTTAATTTCTAATGCTAATTCTGTATGGTGAACTTTAAATTGGAAAATCTTATTTTAATGTTGGGTTTAATATCCTTTTCCCTAATATTTTATTTGGTTCTATTTTAATTTTTGGAAAAGTAAAACCCTTATCCTGTTTTTTTGTTTATTCTTGTCTACACGAATCTGACGATGTGTAGTAGTTATCACATTCTTCTTTTTCCTGTTCTTTGCCTTATTGCAGCCTTTACCCCTAAATGTGTGCCAATTTTTTTTTATTTTTTTATTAAAAAAAGATGCATTAATTTTGTTAGATATGTTAGCATTTTAATCGGTTAAGTTCTCAAAGGGTGAATTTGTGGAGACCAAAGCTGGTATGGTCGAACTGAAGGTCAATAATTTGTTGCGCTGTTAGCTTAATTTTGTGTTCTAGATACAGTAAATAGCTTTCCATTTCATGCTAAAATGTTGTTCTTTGCAGAGTGGATGAATCAAATGCCCTTGGCACATCAATAACAAAACCATGCGCCAAAGATCCGATTTCCCATAGAGAGAAGTACATCAATGCTAAGGTATTTTGTTGGATTTCTTTTTGTCTTGATGTCCATGCATAGAAATTCATACTTGACTATTAATGCATTTATTCTTTCTTCCGCCTCTCCACTCTCACTTGCACTAGCCGTTTAATTTAAGGGGCAGTTTGACCAGTTTTTTCAGTCATCAGGGAACTTCTTGCATAATCACCTCCTTTTAAGTCATTGTGGTAATATTAACTGGTAATTATTTTTAAATTGATAGGTGGATGATTTGGCTTTTTATGCAAGAATGGAATAAACCGTTCTAGGATATGATATGCTATTCCTTGTGTTCATGATCATCTCGTGTTGGATTCTTTGTCCTTGATACCCCCGGCCCCATTAGCATTCATGTTCACTGCTGAAAAGCACGTCCACTTGCACATACAACAGTCCCCTTTAGATGATTGCTATTTTTCGTAAATGTGAATTGTTGCTGCTCAGATTAGTCTTTCATTTCCCACGCTACTCTGATAATAAATACTGTGATTTTCAATACAAGTCTAACATTATTCCTTCTCTTAACCAGTATGTAGAGAAATTGCTGATTGTTAGAGATGCAATGCAACCTGGAGATCTTCCAAACTCTGCAAACATTTGGCAAGCAGTTGAGACTAATAATTTGCGAGAAGTGTATCGTCTAATTGCAATGTCAGACACCAATATCGTAAATATCACCTTTGATGATATTTTCACTGTTGAGTTGTATCACCATGTTGATGCACAAGACTCACCACTTGATAGCAAGAAAGAAGATCCATCAACCTGTCCGAGAATCAAGGATTGTTTACAAGGTTGTTCACTTTTGCATCTAGCATGCCAATATGGGAATCCTGTGATGGTGGAGCTGTTGCTGCAATTTGGTGCTGATATAAATATGCGGGACTTCCATGGCAGGACTCCTTTGCTTCATTGCATTTCGAAAGGGAAAAACCAATTGGCAAAGCTTTTACTAAGAAGGTAGGCTGCATATTTTTCTTAATTTCTTGTCCACAAGAAATGTGATATTTCTGACAAATAGATGACACCATCAAAGCGGATGGATACTAATTTTAGCCTATGTATATGCCAAGATTTCTGTAGTCGCATCTTATCTGGGACTTAGCATACACCTGCAGACAGTTCTTTTACCCAATCTGCGAAACTATCTGGGGAACGAGACCACCATGTTTGGTCTGGTGCTTTGCTACTCCCGAATCGACATCACAAGACCTCCAGAGTGGTCATGTGGCGTTGGTGTATGCCGCATACCACATCAAATGTGTACCAGTTATATAACATTCAATTGTTTGATAACCGTATTCTGAAGACGGAAGCTTTAGCACATACGGCATTGCTTGATAACCAATTTCGTACAAATAATTTATTGAATCATCCAGCGCATTGATTGCTCTGCTCATGCTTCATAAAACAACTAGTTAAAGATTGCTGTTACATATAATGTTTTCATCTATTACTCCATTTTAATTTGACCGATACCATGCAGAGGTGCACGATCAACGATCAAAGATGGTGGTGGATTAAGTGCTCTGGAAAGGGCTATGGAAAAGGGTGCAATCACGGATGATGAGCTCTTTATTTTGCTCTCTGAAAGTTAAGTGAAACAGACTTGGCTGGCTCCAAATTTGTAAGTTTGCGTCCTCTCCTATGGTTTCGGGTTATGTCGACTGTTGTTCCATATAGCATAACAACACCCTTCTATCCTTGTTTGAATCTTCCAATGTTATTACCGTATTGTTTACTGTATAATATTTAAACCTATATATATTCTTGAGTGTTAACCCTTTGGTACCTTCGGTTTGTTGTTGCAATAGTGGGATGATTTTCTCTGTTGATTGTAAGATTGCTTGAATTCTGTAAAAGGTAGAATTGGATCGATTGCCCCTGCTGTTTTTCTGCCGAATGTGCCAAATTTAATTTAGTGTTACTCGTGTAGATTATTTAAAGTTTTTAAAATAAACTTGATATTCATATACCATCTCTAATGTGGTCTAATTGCAGATCAAATTGATGATGTCACATTGATTGATCGAATCAGAATCTGTCATAGAAATAGATAAAATTTCAAGATTCATAACCTTTCAAACGTAATTAAGGATGAATGAGGACATTATAAACATTTTGGTCATAAATACAAATCAACCACAATCGAATGATTATTTTGACAATTTACTCAAGACTACTAATATTGATATTTAACGTATATAGATATTGTGTGACAATATCAATACTTTTAGATAATATAAATGTCTACTTAATATATCTTAGTATCGTTAATTTATTTGATTGGTATTGAAATTTGTATTTAAATATTGATATTGATGGAACAATATTATATCAAATTTCAGTATTAACGTCAAAATAATGTATCAATATTTTTTTATTAATTTGAAATAAGTATAAAGTAATATTTGTTTAAAGATTTTAATTTTTAGACATTAAACGCTCACATTCTGAAATTTATGGTGTTCAAATCAGGATCCTCGAGGAATAATTGCGATTGCTTGATAACGGAGGCCACTTGATTTATGCAATGTATCATTTCTTTTAGATACTATAAATATCTAATTACTATATGGTATCCTTAATTTATTTGATTGTTATTGATGTCTGTATTTAAATATCAATATTGATGAAACAATATTATATCAAATTTTAGTATTAACATCAAAATAATATAATATAACTTGAAATTTGCAAATAATGTCAATAATCTTTTAAAAATGAAATTAATTTATTTTTAATAAGAAATATTACGATAAAAAATAATTCTTGAATAACTATAATTATCGAGAGTGACTTTCTTTTTAGTCTTTTAATTTATTACAAATTAACTTTTTATTAGTATTATAAATTAATTTTTAAATCTTAAAATAGTAAAAAGGAAAACTCACGTGTTTAATCCTAATAATAACTTAAAATATAATAATAATAACAAAAAGAATACCGAATCTGAACCAGTAGTCACTATAGAGACAGTCACAACACCCGCCGCCGCCATCCCCTTCTTCTCCGCCTTGCCATCTCTCTTCTTCCTTAAGCTCAACAATGGCTTCTCTCAGCCACTCTCTCAAGCCCATTTCCTTTCCACCCAAAAATCCAAACGCCAAGCCACAAAATACCCTACCACGATCCGCATATCTCTCCAAGAGTCAAGCCCATCAGTCGCCGTCGTAGGCGTCACCGGCGCCGTAGGCCAAGAATTTCTCTCCGTCCCCTCCGACCGTGACTTCCATTACCGTTCCCTCAAGCTCATTGCTTCCAAACAATCCGCCGGTAAGTCCATTTCCTTCCAAGACCGCACCTTTACCGTCCAGGAACTCACCGCCGACAGCTTCGACGATGTCGACATCGCACTCTTCATTGCCGGTGGGTCGATAAGCAAACAGTTCGGTCCCATTGCGGTCGATAAAGGCGCCATTGTGGTTGATAACAGCTCAGCGTTTCGAATGGTTGATGGAGTGCCTTTAGTTATCCCGGAAGTGAATCCGGAATAAAGGGGTGCATATTCTTAAAGACTCTCTCATTTCAGACCCCTCCTTAGGGGACGTTTGTTTCACCCATTCTAATATGATTGTGTCTATTATTTCGTGGCATCCTCTTCTTATGGGTTTTGTGAAAATTAATGTTGATGCAACTACGACTAAGGATTGGAAGAAGAGTGGTTTAGGAGGAGTTTTAAAAGATTCCTCTGGAACTACATTAGGGTCTTTCAAGGAGCATGCAGGTCCGAGGCCTCCAACATTTATGGAGTTAAAAGTTATTCAAAAGGGGCTAATGTTCTATGCTGATTTTCGGGCGAGAATCAAAGACAGGTTGATTATTGAAAGTGACAGCAAAATGGCAGTGGACTGGGTTGAGGGAGTTGAATTATGTCCTCATGTTTATGCTTATTTGGTTACAGACATTGTTTACTGGCTTAATATGTTCGATGGTGTGGTTAGATGGGTAAGCAGGACAGTTAACTTTGAGGCTGATGCCTTAGCTAAAGAAGGAATTGGTTGATTAAATGTTGATGTTTATGGGTCACAAGGTTGCCTTGTGTTGACCTGTATGTTTACTTTACTTTTAGGGTTGTATCTTGTATATTATTATTTTGTTCAATAATATCCTAAGGCACTCTATTCCTCCTTCGCTGATTAAGGAGCTTATCAACAAGCACCTTTAATCAAGAAGGAGGTTTTTAATGAGACCTGAAATTCTTATAAAAAAGAAGAAGGTATAAGTTAAAAAAGTTTTTATTTTTAGGGTTATTGGCTTGAGAAATATTTAAGCGTTTGAATGGTAGATTAATTGCAGAGTTTAGCTTTGCATTGTTTGTTTGTTGCTGCCTTTTGGGTTTCATTTGGATTTTACGGAGAATGATTTAAAGTTGTTGTTATAAATAGTTTGGAGATTCCAAGTAACATACTCAATTCGAAACTTTGAGTCGGAGTAACATAAGTTGTTTTGGAGACAATTTTGAAACAGGAATTTAGGGATTGTTTGCAAATTTTACTAAGAAATCATTGGCATATTGAGTTTGAAGTCAGATGAATAAGTGATTGATTGGAAAAGATGCTGGGTAAGAAATGAATAATGACTGCTTCAATCTGTATGATATAGTGCTTTGTGTCGATTGTGTTTTATACCGTTAAATTTATATGAGATATCAAGAAAGAAAACTGTATGTTTTGAGCCTTTAGGGTAGGATTTCTATTGTTCAGTGTTCAGAGTCTCGTCAAGAAACTGGTCCGATTCTTGATAATTTATGGTTCAAATATTGATTTTATTCATGACATGTTTCAGGTGACTCGTATAGTGGTCAGTACATATCAGGCAGCTAGTGGTGCAGGTGCTGCTGCTATGCATGAGCTTGAGCTACAGACCCGTGAGGTTATTCTATTCTGTTTCCTTTTCCCTTCGTTTCATTTTATTGTTTCATTGTTATATGAGAGTTTGATTATTTTTTTCTTCTAAATTGATTCCTTGCTGCATTATTTTAGGTCTTGGAAGGGAAACCGCCAACTTGTAATATCTTCAAACAACAAGTATGTATATTTCTCTTACATTATCTATAAATTTCTGAACATCTTTTTGTCACGCCACACTTCTTATTATTTTGTCTTACTTCTTGAACGCATGCAGTATGCTTTTAACTTGTTCTCACATAATGCTCCGGTTCTCAAGAATGGATATAATGAAGAGGAAATGAAAAATGGTCAAAGAGACGAGGAAAATCTGGGTCAGTAATTAGTGTTCTGTGTCAGTGTTATGTATACGAGCATGTGCTGTAAATTCTAGAATAGTTCTAGAACAATTTGTTAGCTTCTTGTTATGAGCAGTTAAGCTGTTAATGGTTTGTTGCATAGCAGTTACATTTTCTTCTTGATTGTATAAATAGCTACTCTCTAACTCATGAGAGATCAGCTTTTCATTAATAAAAGTATTACAAAGATTTCAGTTCATTTCTTGTTTCTTAGATAGCTAAACTGCTATCTTATCATGGTATCTTTCGCCAATACCTGGGTGTTTTCTTCCGCTGTTTCTTCTTCTTTCCAGTAGCTGCACGAGGTTAAGTTCTCACATCGTGTATTCTTGGCGTCATGGTTGATTTGACTGTTGATCCCGAGGATGTGTCTCCGAATACTTCCTCCCTGAGTCCTGGAACTTCTCGAGGTATGTTTGGCATTCAACACACATACCAAAGCATGACACTGTTAAACTCACTGAATCCACATACCTTCTTTGGAAGCATCAAGTGGCTTTGATAATTGATGGCTATGGGTTGCTGAGGTTCATCTCTGCCGGTTCTGTTGCACCAGATGAGTTCATCACTAATGCGTCTAGACAACGTGAAGAGAATCCAGTGTTTGCAGCTCATCGCCAGCAAGATAAATTGCTTGCTTCCTGGCTTTTAACTACTGTGAGTACAGAGGTTTTGCCTCACTTGACTGGACTTACAACTGCGATGTCAATCTGGAATACTATATCTTGTCTGTTTGGTGCTCGCTCCAGTGCCAAGATTTCTTCTTTCCGGCACAGTCTTCATTCCCAGCGAAAGACTGGTTTGACGATTAGGGAATATCTTGCTAAGGTCAAGTCTATTTGTGATCTGCTGATTGTTTCGGGTAGTGTGGTTACTGAGCAAGAACATGTTAATGTTGTGTTAGTTGGACTTACAGTGGAGTTTGAGTCCATTATTGCAATTGCGTCACGAGAAAATTTTTCTCTTGATGTTCTTACTGAGATGTTAGACTGCGAGGCTCGACAGAATGTGTTCTTGAGAGAATACTTTTCTGCAAATCTTGTTCTTCACTCTCGAGAAGGTGGTGGTGCTGAAACTGCTTCTTGTGGAACTCATGATGCTAATATTGGGTCATCACAGGGTCATCAATCTCGTGGACAGTCGAATGGATATCATGGTCGAGGGTCAAGTATTGGATGAACGTGATTTTGGTAATGCGAATGAAGGCACTTTCAACGTTGTTGGGTCAGGTGCGCATGGGACCATTGCTTTTGAAAACACGCATGGGACCACGCTGCTAACTTGTGACAATGCACATGCTCCAACGGCTCCACCAACACATGTCGCGCATGCTCCAAAGGCTCCACCAACACATGTCACCCCTACTCCACTAAGTTCAACGCATGATCCAAAGAATTCAATACATGTGCATGATTTTTTGAATACAAACAATGTTCCACTAGTTTCAATGCCTGCTCCATTCTTCACAGGTGCGCATGGGGCCTTTTCATTTGAAAATATGCCAGCAGGTGCGCATGAGTCCATTT